CTCCCCCCCCCCCCGCGCTCTCCCCTCAAACACTACGAGGCCAGTGAGCGTGCTCCGACACCGGACAACTTCACGGCACATCCCGGAAACATGTCACGCTTCGCGACAAGCTCGAAGCTCCCCTCGCAGGCCATGCTCGCTCGCTCACCATGTCGCAGTCCTTGGTGGCGTCGATGCTCAGGGCCGGGTTCAGAAGCGCCTTCGTTGCTTCAGCAGTCTTCTTCGAAATCTTGCCTCGTCTCGCGGCGGAGAGGACCCCGCGTTGCAGGTAGGCGAGCCCCTTGTCCAAGTTCTCCTACAGAAGCACATCGAGCCACAGATGCGCGGAAAGGGGAGGGCACTCATGTCCACGCATGCCGTAGCAGTAAGACCATAGGCCTCGCATCTCTACACTGCCGCGACGGAACGGCATGACATGCCGGGTTTTCGCCGGCCTAGAAAAGCGAGGTGGGGGCGCGATTAACCGGTCCGGTCACGTACCAACACCCATACCCCCGCGGAACCTTTTCGGGCGAGAAAGCCGATCTCGCCGCGAGGTTCGCAAAACACCGACTACGCCAATTGGTGCGGCGCAAGCACCATCCAACACTCCGACAACCAACGCTCGTCCCACCCGCGGCTGAAGCAGACCTGTTTGGCATCGACAAGGGTGACCTTGAACCCCGCGAACAAAAATGCGATGGCGATGCCAGCCCCCATGGTGCCGGCGCCGATAACGCCGACCGATTGGACCTTGGGGGGCGCGGCCAGGGTGCGGGGGATCCGGAAGGCCGCGCGCTCGGCCAGGAAGAGGTGCCGTCGAGCACGAGACTGCTGCGACTGGATCAGCTGTTTCGTGGGCAGGTTTTTCGGGTTCGGCGGTGGGTGGGGGAGAGGAAAGGTGAGTGAGGCGCATGCACGCCAATGGCTGGAACACGCTGGAGCGTGCAGCGGTTGTGAGCGACCGGCTGCAAGATATGCGATACTTGTCTCACCTAGTGAAAGGAGCTTCTTAATTCTCTCTGCAACACCTCACATCCCGCCATCAACAGCGCTTTTTCTGAACCCACGCGTTTCACCACGCGCCTCCCCCGCAACGTGCCTCGTCAACCCCCCAGCACCACATCACACCATGAACGCTTTTCGCCCAGTATCAGAGCACTAACCGTCGAGAACAACGCCCCCTCTCTCGCCATCCCCGTGGCCAAGCCGCCGCCAGCGGCCGCCGCCCTCAGGGCCTCGACGCATGACCACCTGGGCTCTGCACCGCGTACGGGAGGACCGATCTTCGCGGCGGCGGCGTCGCAGAGCGCAAGCACCACGGGCACGGGGTCCTACCATACGATAGGATAGGGCAATCGGCCCACGAGTGGAGGAACGAGAGCTTTGAGGTCAGAGGAGCCACAGCTATAGGTTGGGGTAAGGTTTGTGTTCAAAAGCACTCGCGGACGAACGGGAGGGAGAAATTGACGCGCTACTACGATACGCTGTGGCAATTAATTGCGCTGTGGTCGCTAGTGGTGTGGCGCAGCCACACAGACAGTCCTGCACAAACGGGTAAAGTTTTCTCGTATTATCTTGGATATTATCGTCCCTTCGGAGAGGGAACCACGGCCAACGAAATTTATGCTCTTGGAACTGCACCTTGAGCAGCCTGCCTCCGGTACGCAAAGCGTCGAGACCCCCTGCGACCTGAGGCAAACGCCTCCTTGCGAACGAAACCGCCGCTTCAACGAGGTCGGGAGCGCTTGCGCCCACCGCGTGGTCCACGAGGCCTGCCTCCAACGCCTTTGCCGCCGGGATCTGCGACGGACACCGCACGTCGGGGTCGCAACGTGCGACGGCGTTGACCCACTCGCACATCACTAATGTCATGTTATACTCGAGGGAGGGTTCGACTTGTTCCCTTGCACAAAAACTTGTTCGGAACATACAGATCTGATACTGCTACGTGTTTTCCCTCGTGTCAGGATGGCACAAAAAGTGAAGATGCATTTGAAGGCTGGATCGAGAGCCGAAAAGAATGATGGCGCAACTCGAAAAGGACAGCGCCAAGCTTACCCGTCGGGGGACGCACGTCACCCGCTACTCCTCTGTCCTCTGTCCCTCCTGCATGTCACTAGTACGTACTCACCATCTTTCCGGTGGTGATCATGCTCAGCGCCATCTCGGCCTTGACGAGGCGCGGGAGGCGTTGGGTGCCGCCGGCCCCCGGCAGCAGTCCGATGAGCACCTCTGGCAGGCCAAGAGATGCTTTCGGAGAGGCCACTCGCAGGTGGCACGCGAGCGCGACCTGGGCAGCAGAGACGCGGAGCATGCACCATACGCCGTACCTTTCAGCGGCACGCTGTGTGCCTTCAAATATGCAATAAGCTCGTTACTCCATGGGCTGTTCAAACGGACTGCAGCACAGACCAGCGTACCATATTCTTCCCTGAATCGTATCATGTGTACTGCTGTACAGAACGCGCCACCACTTAAGAACCGCTTATTTCTCCTGAGGCTCGACGCTTACCTCCAACTGAGCACATGTGCACATGTTCTGATTTTCTAAGTTCTTATTGGAGCAAGTATCCACCTGTGATCAACGGGGTTCTTGTTCTTATTTCTAAACCGATTGCCCTATGCAGAGGCCACAGGTCTTGGTGGATTTAATCACGAGACACTACTGCGGTAAGAGTACACATGTAGATGACAGTGCCGCCTGCACGGTATGGGAGAGGGGAGGTTGCCGAGAATAGCTTAGGAGGAGAAGTGGGCAAACAAGAACTGGTGTACCAACCTACGGAGTGAGTAAATGTCGTAGATGACGCATGGAAGGGGGTCGAAATACGAAGGTGATGCACTGGAGAAGGAAGGTCTAGAGGGGTTCAAGGAGAAGATAACTGTTGTTCTTTTCGAGAGAGAGGGATAGAATCTAACCAAAGAAAGCAAGGAAGGGAGGGTCTCGATGTGTACGGAATTTTATAGAAGGAATTAATTTACGAAGTATCTACATGGGCCAAAGGATGCAGAGAAAAAGCTGAAGGGCAAACTAAGGACTGGGGTTAAGGCCTTTCAGAACGTAGACGAAGGTTCAGGAAGGTCGACGATGAACACGACAAACCCAGATGTGAGTGCGGCTCCGAGAGCGAAGACAATGTTCATGCACTTGCGGAATGTCCGTCGTACAAGAAGGAGAGGGGAACGTACATGACTGAGCTAGCTGGGAAAGTAGAAGGAAAAGGTACAGAGAGATGTTTTGACAAACGTAATAGCCAGGAGAAGACGGTAGCTGTACTGGAGCATAGGAAATGTGTTGAGAAGGCCGAAAGTGATACCGGCGGGAAAACATTTTTGAGCCACCTTTTTGTCAAAGTAGGAAGGGACGATTGGCCATCGGTGATCGGTGCTGTGGGAACAATGCTCTGTCCTGTCGAGGACGCGTGGTCAACGGTCTAACCGCTAAGGCTCCCAAAACATGAGAGAGAGTACGCCCCCTTCGGATCCAACTCCTACGATCGGGAAGAGGCGTATGTATGTACGATGTGGGCAAGGAGAGGTTGCCGAGAGAAGCCTGGGAGGCGAAGTGAACAAACGAGAAAAATGGAGGCATCAACCCAGGGAGTGGATCAAGGTTGTGGATGGCGTATATAGGAAGAGTTCAAAATCGATGAGATTGGTACGTTGAAAACGAACGTAGGTCTAGAGGGGTTCGAGAACAAGAAATATTTCGCCGAGGGAGAACACAATACTACAAAAGGATCCAAGGATAACGAGGGCCTAGATGTGATCGGATGTTGAAAGGAAAAGGTATCTACATGAACCAATGGAGGCACGGAGAAAGCCGAAGGTCAAGTTGAGGAGGGGACAACAGCCTTTGAGAACGTTGACGAAGATTCAGGAAGGTAGACGATGAAGACAAGTTTAAATGTGAATGCGGATCCGAGTGCGAAGACAGGGTTCATGTTGCGAAACGTCCGTCCGTGTTGGGCGACAAGGACGGAGAAATGTACATGACTGAGTTTGACATGTAGAACGAAAGGTACAGGGAGATGTTTGAGGCATGGGATAGCCAGGAGAAGACGGTAGCTGTACTGGCGCATAGGAAGTGGGTTGAAAAGGCGGGAAGCGATATCGATAGGGTAGATCGGCTAGGGAGAACATTTTTTAGCCACCTTTTGGCAAAGTATTTCAAAGTGGGAAGGAACGATTGGCATCGGTGATCAGCCCTGTTGGAACATTGATGCATCCTCTCAAGGACGCGTGGTCAAAGGTCTAACCGCTAAGGCATGCGAACCATGAGAGAGAGCGTACGCCCTCACCCTCCGCGCGTAACAAGCATTTGATCACGAGGTCCTCTCCCCCCCCCGCCTCGACTCCGAAACTAACTGCTGTTTGGGTCATCCCCATCAACCTCCTGAGTTGTTATCTTGCGGCCGCCGCGTTTTGGGGCTCCGTTCTTATCTGAATGCGCATTGATACACCGTAAGGGCGGGTTCTTGTTCTTAATGCCACGTCGGAACTGAGCATATGTTCTTATGGCAAAGTTCTTAGATTTTGCATAGTTTGAGGCTCAAGTTCTTAACTGCTACGTTCGCAAGTGGTGGCGCGTTCTGTAGTCCTTCGGCGAACAAGCACGGTCCCGTGTCTACCTACTGTGACAGCATTAGAGGGACAGCAATAAACCTGTCTGCGGAAATGACCTGGGGCCAAAGAAAAACCTGCAGCCTGCTAGAGGGCTGCTACGGGTTGACCCCGCCGCAACCTCGACCGCACACTCGCAGCCATCTATGCATACATGCATACCACGAACATGTAAACACTGCCGTACTGCTGCAAGGGGGGTGGTATAAACTGTACAAGGGGGGTGGTATATGTTGGATGTACTCACAGCATGACAGATTATTTCGAGTCAGAACTTTCCGAACAGATGGAGCGGGGAGATCCGGGGGTTCAACAGTTGGTATGGATTAGATTTGGTGGTACCAAATTTACCACATATT